TTGGAAATGCCCGAGCTTCAAATGTTGAACATTTTTTACTTTTGGAAATGTTCTGAGTTTCAAAATTCGACAAAGCATTGAGTCTGAAAAGTTGTCGACTTTTCAAACTCAGAAATTTCCTTGTTTTTTTCTTGAAAATTTCTGAGATTTTTTGGCAGAAATTTACTCCTCCTTTTTCGTTCCCATCTGCATTGGCCATGATATGCCATTACAGAGGTTAGCATCACTTAACCCCAATAATTTATAAAATTTATGCAGAAATTTTGCAATAAACTCACCATTACACATTAGTAACAAAGTGTGAGGATCTGTTGATTCTGCACGAATTTCCACAATTGTGGAATTGCAAAAAATAAAAATAAAAAATTGAAGTGATTGATGAATGTAAATCTGTATTTATGATTACTAACCTTAACATGGACAAATGTCATTATAAGTGAACTGGAATTTTTTTTAATCAATATTAAAGAATTACTGACTTAGAAAAACTCCTTTATCTTGCATAATAGTTACTTATTCCTAATTTGTGTCTTATTTCAAGTGTACTAAGACATTTGCACTTGAAGCTAGATAAAAATACTTGGTATGATTTTGTGTTTTTGCAGTGTTGGGCCAGATTTTCTCCAGGTAAAACAGCCACTGAAAGTGGGTGTACTTTCTTTTTACTTTGTACATTTCTACCCAACATTTGAAAGCAGTGGATGAAGTTTGATTTGTGCAGCTCCAGGGTTCTGGGCATGTTCTTACAGACCACTGCGACCTGCCAAAGACCCTGCAGCCTTTTCACTAAGGCTCCACTAAGACTCTTATTCCAAAGAGCAGCAACAATCCAGGCTGTCAAATCCTAATCCGTGCTGCGTCACAGCACTAATCGAGCGCTCTGCAATGGAAAGTGCAGCAACAAAGAGCTTTAAATAGACGTGCAGGTCTGGTCAGGTGAGCTGCAGGGGATACGTTCTCCTTAAAGCATGAAGGGAAGTATTTAAAGACAAGATTAGGACTTATTGTTCAGACAAAGTAAAAGTAATGACTTAAATCCAAACGTATTTGATAAAACAGCACTGGGTTACGGTAGAGGATTAGGACGACTGAAAAAAACAAGACAATTCTGACTTTAATCTCAGAATTCAGATTAAAGTGAGAATTCCATAATTCCAAACCAAATCAATTTCTTTCAGTGTGAAACTTATGAAACTGTTAACAAAAAAATGCAGGTGTGCATCAGTAGTAAAAATACTCATAAAATAGTTGTTTTCCAAAAGTAACTGATGTAAATGCAGCTAGTTACTTCACAACTCTTTTGATGAACAAAACCAAATGACGGGACCAACCCGTTGTGTATGAGCGCCCTGAAGTCCTGACTGGACTTGACGTCGATGAGGAAGATCGCCATCATCAGGTAGAAACAGGAAGTGCCGAAGCAGACTCTGTAGACTGCTGAGTATCCCACCAGCATCTCACAGTGGCCTCCGCCGTGCGCCTGGTCGCACACCACGTTGAAGAAAGGCACCTGAAGCACAAAACGCAGCTTCATCACACCCCAACTTCTCGTTCCCTGAATCAGACGCACAGATTTGGAATGATTTCCATTTAATTAACTATCAAATAACTTTTAAGAAAGATACAGAAGCTTGTTTTAAGCTAATAATTTCTTAAAATTGATGAAAAAGTTCTAGTTTCACTGGCAGATTATTTAATTTACAACAAGACATTTTTACCAAGTTACAAGTGAAACTAGAACTTTTTAGTCAATATTAAGGAATTATTGACTTATTGAGCAGCTTTTACTTCTGGCTAAAAACGTTAATTGCAAGTTAGTTTGTCTTATTTCAAGTGTATTAAGATATTTGTACTGGAAACTAGACAATAATACTTGTTAATATTTTGTGTTCTGGCCAAGAACATACTAAATATTTAGTTACCAAGAAAAGGCATTTAATTTGCAAGTTATCTTCTAGCTAAATAGTTAGTGTTGAACAAATATTCAGCTAGCAAGCTAGCTATTTTCAAGCTAAATATTTAGTTTACAGCTTTCAATCTAATGATTTAGCTTCAAGCTAGCTATACAGTTAGCAAGCTAACTGAATGTTTAGTATATAAATGAATGAATAATGGTTTTTCAAAGGCTGGCAACCCCTCACAGATTGAAGGTAACTGTCTGTATTTAGCAGTACAGCTCCAGTACAGCTAACCTGCTTTTCTGAGGCAGCTAGCCTTGGTTTGTGTGATTATCTAATCAAATCATTTGATTTTACAGCATCTGGTTCTGTGGAAACAGTAAATATGTAATTAGCTTACATAGTTTTGCTTAAAATCTTTGTGTTTTTATTTTGCTACATGCTCACATATGAATGAAACCTTTGAATTGAAAGTATGTGTTTGCTCCTTATGCCACATTAAACTCACATTTTCCCTGACGAGCTCAGAGACGGTGCGGGACAACATGAGGCAGGAAACGGCGCAGCTCATGATGTGGAAGAGGGTGTACATGACCCGCGTGCTGGTGGACGATTTGACAGGAGGGCAGAAGGCACAGCAGAGCGAGCAAGGAGCCGGTCCACAGCAGCAACAAATCTGAGGAGAATTAATCAAAAACTGAAGCAAATGAAGAAAAGAACAACACTTTGTGTTTAAAGATGACCTGCTATGATCCTTCAACAGGTTAGAATGGTTGATGGCTGACACAAGACGTTTTCATTTCATTGTTTGCACAAAATAATTCAATAGTGAGATTTTAGTCTGCTCTGATCAACGTTTACACTCGTACGTGAAAATGGCTGCGGACAGATGCATAATTATACAACCATACATCTTTGAAAAGCAGAAGCAGAGCCTCCTGCACAACCAACAAGAATGCAGGAAGTCAACAACAAAAGCTGGCCAAAGGTGCTGGAGTTCCGCTTGTGTTGCTAGGCAACGGGGCCCGGCCCTCCTGGGGTTGCTAGGTAATGGCACAGTGCATATTGAATGCGATGTAACAATAGGGAGCTTTTTGAAATGGCTCATTTTCCAAACACCAAAAACATCAACTTATTGTCAAAAAACAGCTGGGTGTTTTTTTTAAGTGNGNGGNCTTCTTTCAGAAGCAGTTGAGACCCAAATGGAAGAACAAAACAAAATGCAAAAAATAGGAATTTTGCATAATAGATCACCTTTAAAACTTTGTAGATCTGTATTTGAATATGCAGAGATGTATCCAGTAATAAATTAGAGAAGTGTTTCTGAGAATGAGGTGAGGAGTCCAATTCTCTGTTTTATCTTAATTCAATTTTAATCAATCAATCAATCAATCAAGTGTATTTGTCCACCACATTACAGTAACAAGGTAATTCAAAGTGCTATTTAGCTTCTAAAGCTAACTATTTAGCTTGTAGCTAAATAGTTAGCTTGCTAACTAAATACCTAGTTTGAAGCTAAATATTTAGCTTGCTGTACTTGAAACCAAATATTTAGTTACCAAGCTCACTATTTGGTTTCAAACTAGGTATTTAGTTAGCAAGCTAACAGTTTAGCTAGGCTAAATAGCTAGCTTTAAACAAAATATTTAATTAGCAAGCAAAGAAGCTGTTAAAAGCTAAATATTTTAGTTTGCAGCCAAACTAAGTTTAGCTTTGAACTTAGTATTTAGTTCGCAACCTTTCTGGATATTTTGAATATAAATAACCCAAATCATTGCTGTTATTTCAGAACCTGATTCTGAAATAACAGTGAATGTGTTAAACTCTTTCATTCAACTCAAATGAGTTAAACACAGATTCAAAGCATCAACCAGTCTGCAGTCGGGTTGTTTAGCATCAAATAACCTACATTACCAGACTTGGCAGCAGCAACGTTGGTGACAGATTAATCTAATGAAACCAGAAACATTCGGATTCTGACGGACGGCTGGACGCGAGCCCGTCTCTGCTGATCCTGAACTAAATCTTAGGAGGCGTGCACATCTGTCTGCTGCCAGAGTCTGGAGTCTGGAGGTCAGCCTGGTTTATTCGGGCCACAACATGACGAGCAGGACAGGATAAATCCTTCCAGCCATCAACTGGAGCTGCTTTTTCTGCTCCTATTAAAGAACAGTTGATCTACATGGAGGGATGTGTGATTTTATGGCTGCACTGTGGAACGGTGCGTTCTGATTAATTATTACTCATCAAGTGCAAATCATAATCTGAAGAACAATGCAGAGATTACCCATCAATATGAGGACTGGAGTGGACCTTAATCATTTATGCTTTTCAAATTCAGGCACTTTGAAGAGACATTTTGCTCAATAAAATATATGAAACTTTCACAGATGTTTTCTAGATAATAAAAAAAAAAATTCTTTAAAAAAAATTAGGAATTATCAAAATGTTACTTGATTTTTGAAAGTTTTTCTTTGTTTTAAACTTTCTTTAGAGTTTATTTTAATCTTACCTGCATTTCACAAGATGCACACCTTAGTTTTGCTTAATTCAGGGGTGACCAAAGTGTGGTCTGTGGGCCATATGCGGCCCCTCGATTGATTTTGTGTGGCCCAAGTTTGGCCACCAGCACAAGTAGTTGATACAGTTAGAGACTTTTTGTTTGTAATTAGGGAAAATTTATTATAAACAAATTAAAGTGTTATTATAATGAAAATATTTGATCCAATAAAAAGCATTAATTTTTTTTTGCATTCTCTTTGGTTTTAAAGTAAACAGGAACACATCTACTTAGTGACTTTTCCTCAAAGTCACTAAGTAAAATCTGCTTTTGATGAATGTATTAAACATCTTTAAATATATGAAATTCTATCCCAAAAGTTTAAAAAAATCCAGTTTTACAGCTGAAACTTCTCCCTTTTCCCCAAAAATGCACAAATTGAATTCCTTTCTTTTAACCTGTTATAAGCTTCACTTTTCAAAGATATTTCCACTGTAGTCAGTTAGTTTGCTAACTAAGTACTTAATTTGAAGCCAAATTTAGTTAGCAAGCTGCAAACACAAAAATATATAATTTCTTAAAAAGTTTTACCTGCTCAACAATAAACTAAATATAATAATTAAAATAAAGTAGTCAGACATTTTGTAAGAATGAGTCACTGGATGCCTAAAACTATGAATGCCTTATTAAATAACCCAAATTACTGCTAATATTTCAGAACCTCAATCATTCAACTCAAATGAGTTTAACGCAGATTCAAAGCATTAAAGATCTTGCTTTGCATCAAATAACAGTTAGCAAGCTAACTGTTTAGCTTGCTAACTATAGGCTAAAAAGCTACCTCTGAACAAAATATTTAGCCAGCAAGCTAACTAGTTTTGGGCCTGCAGGTTGTTCTGACTTGAGAAATTTGGTCCATGTGACAAAAAGTTTGGACACCCCTGGGTTAGCTAGTGGGCCTTTGTCCTCAGACTGAGATGCTAATGTTACTCTTCACTTTCTGAATTAAAAACCTAGAAGACTTTGGAGCAAAGAGGAACTTGATGTTAAATATGCTGGATTTAATTATTTTCCTGTGCAAGATCTCGAGCTGACAGAAATCCTGGTGAAACTGTTCAGCTGCTGAAACTTGGTCGCCTCTCTGGACCCGTGTGACGGACAGGTGTCTGTCCTGTGGCCCAGTTTGAGGTTCATAATACAGGATTACAGATCGCTGAGGGAAGCTGCTGCAGCGAGAGATTATCTTCCATAAACACAGAACGATCGCTCAGACTTAAAAATAGCCAAATTACACTGGCAGTGATGCACAATAATCACAGCTGAGGAGAGAATTATTAGCCCCATCCTGCGAAAACATCATTGTTTATAAAGAGGAAATACTTTTTAACACGTTTCACAGTTAAAAACGCTTAGATTATGTTGATTTCAACTCAGATTAAATTATTCCACAGAAAGAGAAATTTTGACATTGTTAGCCAGCTGATGCTATTTGTGAACATTTTGACCTGGATTAGTTGCAGTTAAAGTTTCCGACTCGTCTTCTGATGAACCTTTTGTCTGTTTTTTTTTTCTCTCTCAAGTTTCTTCTGATTTTGCAGAATATTTTTGTGTAAAATTAAAGTTGAAATTTTACATGTTTCAGCCAGTCATGTTCACTCTGGTTTTCTGGAGGGGATTTTTCACCAGAACTACGTTTTCCTTTAAATTTCTCAAATCCTTCTGAATTTACGGTTCAAGATTCAATTCAAAAATACTTTATGTCTGAATAACCAGTAAATGTCAGTTGTTCTCATTACTTTTCTTTGCAGCGTATCTGAAATATTTTGACGTGACTCTGCGAAGGTTGTTCTTTGATTTTGTTTTTTGTAGTAATTCTTGAAAAAACCATTTTTTTCATCCTTTTCAAACTTTTATAGCTTAAGATATTCTTTTAAATCTAAACTGATTATTTTTGGAGTGATGCTCCGATGCTACAAGGTGCATAAATTGGGATGAAATAGATTTTATAAAAAGTCGGGGAGGTTTAACTACATTATTGCAGAAAAACGTTGTCAGCTGCTGCTTTCACAGAGTGTATACATTAAATAAATCCTATTTTGACATAGAAATTAAAATAATACTGAAAAGTTCAGGAAACTGACATTTTTTCTCACTTCAAATGGTTGGAAATGAAAGAGCAGAAACTTTGCGTTTTGTTTACAGTGGGAGTAATTTAAAATAAGGGCCAACCTTGTTTCTCAACAAGTTCGCCCTGAAAACAGGCTGACAGATGCTGAAAGAAGTCTGAAAGCTGTTCAAGCAGAAGGAAACTGCACAGGTTTGACTTTTATTCCAGGTTTGCATGGAAGAAGGTCAGATTATGTTTTGCCATAAAGAGGAGAGACAAAAACCTGAGCTTCAGTAGTAATATTATTTGTACAGATAAGTGTAAAATTGAATTATTTAGACAGAAAACCTCATGCCAGCTGTGAAGCAGAGAAGTGGATGTGTCATGGTTTGGGGATGATTTGCAGTAAATCAGTAAATCCAGAGAACTGATCCATTATTTTCCAAAAAATAAGAATCAGTATGAGTCAGTGTGTGATTTTTTTTAAGATATATTATTTAAAACTAAAAATCTTCTGGTTGCAGTTTTTGTCTAATAAAGAGGAACTTTGAGTTTATTTTTTTTAGCTGTTTGTGTTTCAGGCTCCATCCAGTCAAAGCAGATTCTGGTTTTGTTTTTGATTTCTGGACATCCAACAGCATCTGGTGCGACGATGTTAAAGTAAAACAAAATTAACTTACAAGTAGCTTTTCAGCAAAACAGAGGAGCTTTAGTTCCACTGTGAGATTATTTTACACAAAACAAGGGAAATATTTTGAAAAAGTGCTAATTCCACTTGTACTTTTTCATCAATATTAAGGAATAGTTGACCTAGTGTTGCTTTCAGATGCGTTGCTTTTAGAGCTCTTTTATCAGAATCCAGTATTTCAAACAGATTCTGCTTAAGAAATGCTTATGTGTGGCAGCAGCAAATTACTAATTAAAATTAATTAGCTTTAGTTTAATTAATTATAGTAGATCAGATTGGGTAGATTTCTTGTAGTCGATTAAATTGACATTTGAATAAAAACTGTAACTTAAACATGATAAAAGAAGCAAGAAATGTGTAAGGATGCAAATACTTTTCCTCATTACTATAAATGATGAACACATGAAGAAAAAAAGTGTCAGAAGTCAAGACAGTAGCTAAAAACTGTCACGTTTTAGAGAGCAGTCCATCTGGCCCAAATCCTTCTGACTGATCAACTTTCTAAAGTCCTGAGCACTAATAATCTGGGTCATAATCTGGAAGCAGTAAGGCGTAATTTCAACATAATCTGGACACAGGAAAACGCTGCTCACAAGGTTTCACAAAAGAAGAGCCAAAAATAAAAAGATAAATCATCCAAGAGCCAAGAACTCACTGAGAACTCCAGAAAAACTCAAACATCCTAAACTCACTGCGTAACACTCCACTGCTGAAGAAAAGCTTTAAACTTGTGTAAAGTTTGACAGAGAAGGAACAACAAACAGGGAACTTAGACTTTTCAAACTCCTGCAGACCTAAAATGTGTTTGTTGTAGTTTTAACTCATGCAGAACATGAGGAACATTTTGTACTTTTAGTTGTTGACCAGAGCAGCTTGTTGTTACTTCAGATTACAAATCACTTATAAAAGCATCTCCGACAGAACGCATCATGATCGGATTCAGTCAGCAATATTAATATAAACTCATAATGATCAGAATAAAAAGGGAATTTTCTTCATTTTCTTTACTGTTTTTTACCTACAGCAACACTGCAAAACAAAATATTACCAAGTATTTCTGTCGAGTTTCTAGTGCAAACATCTTAGTTCACTTACAAGTAATGTCTAAGCAAAATAGAGGAGCTTAATACCGTAAAGAAACAGAATGATTTGTTATCAGTGAAATAATCTGCCAGTGGAAGTCGTACGTTTTGTTATAAATATTAAGGGATTTTTGACTTTTGATCTGATATCTTGCAGAAAAGTTACGTGTAAGTAAGTTTTGTAAGGCGGCGTATTAGTGTTACTGTATTATTATTATTATTATTATTATTACAGTGTTACCGTAAATAGGAAAAAAAAGGAGTTTGATGCCAAAAAACTCAGAAGTTTTGAGATTCATTTCACAGTTTCTAGAAAAAGCTTGGACCTTTCTGAGCTTAAAAGTAAAAAAAATCCAGGAAAAACTCAAATGTTGAGATTAATTTCACATATTTTACAGAAAAAACTTTGAAACTTTCTGAGCTCGTAAAGTGGAAAATTTTCAACTTTTGTAAATTTTCTGAGTTTCAAAAGACGAAAATTTCAACAAAAAAAAATTTCGAGACAATTTCTGAGAATAATCTCAAAATTTCTAAAAAAAAATTCTCACAAATGTTTGACTTTTGGAGCTCAGAAATGTCCAAGACTTGTCTATGAAATTTCTGAGTCATCTGAAAATATTAGAAATTTTTTTTACTCCTACTTCACACTTTTAAAGTTTTGTCTTGTTTCAGGGTTCATGCTAGAAAGTGGACCATAAATGGAAACATTTTGTCCTTTTGCAGTGAAATCTTTTACATCTTTTGTCTTCAGGAGCTTCTTTGAGAGCCGGTCATGTCAGCCAGACTTCTTCTCAGCAAAATCCAAGTAAGAACAGAGACAACAGATTTAAACTCTCCTTTCTCTGTGGTTTCAGCTCAGCTGTGAAGTTTCTCCTGCGGGTCTGCGGCTCCTCAGCTCTCACCTGATAGGCCACCATGTTGAGGAAGTAGCTGTAGACGCTGGTGCGGCTCATCCCCTGCGTGGCCGACATCGTCCCTCTCATGTGTTTGTCGTCGCCCACCGAAGCTCTACATTTGGCCATGAACTTCCTGCACCGGCAGCTTTTTCCCCAGAGAGAGCGCCTCACATCCTCCAGGAGGCCGGAGCCCTCCGGCAGGCCGGTCAGAGGATTAGCGGCGGATCCGGTCCGGCTGGAGCCCAGAGCCTCAGCCCGAGCCCCGGCCGCACCGCCTGGCAGCAGAACCGCTTGCTTTGTTGCCCATGTCCTGCTCTGTTCGCTCTGCGGCTGTATCGGCTGCTGCCAGGAGAGAGGAGAGGGAGAAGTGGAGGCGAAACCCGGCGGCCTCCCTCCCTCATCCCTCGCCCCCCCCCGGACCGGTCAGATTAAAGCAGGGAGGGGAGTTTGACATGGACCATGTGTTCGTCCCATCTGTCCGTTCAGTCCCTTCCCCCAGCAGAACATCTTCCTCTCCACACGAAGCGCTGGATGCTTTAACCCTCCACAGGCCTCCAGCCAATCTGACCAAGTGTTTTGGTCGAGTTTCTGCTCAAATATCTTAGTTCACTTGAAAAAAAGACTAAAATGACTTACAAGTAAATATTCAGCAAGATATGGGAGCTTGTTTTCAGTTAATAATTCCTTAAATTGATGGAAAAGTTCTAGTTCCACAGGCAGATTATTTCACTTATGGGAAAATGTGTAATTATTTGTTGGTCACATAAAGCTTGTTTTCAGTCAATCACTCAAGTTTATTTGTAAAGCACATTTCAGCAGCCAGGCGGTTCAAAGAGCTTTAAAATATTGTGAACAAGTAAAAGATGGACTGTTTGCAGAGTTCAGGTCAGTGCAGATTTCAGAAATGAAACATTTCTTCTGCTTGTTTTTGTTGCAACATAACAGAGAAAACTTTTCTACTGTTTTCAAACTTTGATTCTGTTAAAGATGAATGTAAATCTTTGCAGTCTTTTAGATTTACATCTTTTATCTTGAGCTGAGTTTGGAGGTGAATGTGTTCATAAACGCTCTGTGGTCTGCAGAGCAGCGATGATGATGACGATGATGATGAGCTGGAAGAGAGGGAGCCAGATTAGATTTGGGTTAGTGTGCGGCGGGGCGAGCAGCGGGATAATCCTGGTGCTGCTCAGCCCTCCTCTCCGTCAGGATGACCTTCATCGGCCCAGACCACATTTTAAAAGCTGCAGCCTGTTTCTGTGGCTGAGCCGCCCAGAGACGGTCCGGCGGGTTTCACTGCATTTCATCCTCTGAGTTCTGATCCGACGGTAAAACAGAACCGCCTGGTTCTGTTCATTCACAAGCATCTCTGTTCTCAGATCTTGTCTTTGTCATTTTCACACACTAGCTGTACCACTGTTAGAGGAGGGTAAAGGACTCAACATATTTTTACTCAAGTAAAAGTAAAAAGTACACACTAGTAAAGTAATACTAAAAGT